AAGAAAGGAAAGGAGAAAGACAGAAAGGAAAGAAGGAGCCAAACATATTCTGGTCCATAGGAAACAGGCCTGTCCTTGACAGCCAGTCACACTCCCAACTAGCCTGCCTTCTCAGACAATCCTTGTCTCACCGAGGTACCCGGCATGCGAACATTGGTACCTGCCTAGGAGAAGACCCACGCTGGGCTCTCTGACTTCCAAGGTGCAGCACAGAGCCCCAAATGAGTCACAGGTGTAGTGGGATCCCCAGACTCATGCAGCTTTGCCTGCCGAAAAGTGTAAGAACATAGCTAGCTCTCCACAGGCAGGCAGCGCCACGAAGAAGAGTGTATCCTGAGGAAGCTGAGGGCCCAGAAGTCCTAAGGAAGCAAACTTTCTGCACAAAGCCCAGAGATCTTCTTGACAGAAAAATAACATTGTGGTTTAAATTAGAGGTTGGGGAAGGGGGTGAGTTAAGAGGTAAAATGCCCACCGACAGTGTAAAGGAAAGTGTTCAGTGTCGGGATAGCTCAAAGGTACAAGCCTTGCTTAGCTTGAACTAGGCCCTGCACCTGGCCCCTGGCACAGTGGCAACACTGGGCTATTTGTTTATTCTACAATGGAGGACTAAAGCACAACTTCCTTTGGGGTCTGTGTTGTATTCTTTGGTGACCTGGAGGGAAAAACAGTGCTGAAAATAAAAATTACAGCTCTAAAAACCAACCAAAGACTACTAACCAGAGGGTGCAGCGTGCAACACCCATCTGAACTCTTAACACTCTAGTGGGACCAGGGACCCAGTGCAAAGGCATCTTCTTCACTACCTTCTGTGTATGAGCCCTTCCTTGAAGCAAGAGAATGAGGGGGTCTCTTGGCTATCAAGATCCTGGGAAACCAGGGCTATACACCCAAGCCATCTTGGGTACTCCAGACAAGTCCACACCTCAGGTGTTAGGCACCAGTGCAAGCTTTGGGATTGCATGCTACATCAGCCTGCACTGTGATAAGCTGTTAGGGAGACTTTGGTGACTATGTCTCATGTCTATTGTGTGCTGCCATCACAAAGTCTGGTTGTGCATGTTCCTGGGGTGACCACACCCCTCCGCGAGTCCCCTGCCCTTACCTAAAGGTTTGAGGCTCGTTCCTTCTGCAGGTGGGGATGCTAGCATACATGGTTAAGTGAGTGACGTGTCCATTTTCCACTTGGATTTTACCTTGAGCAAGCCTTAGGTGATCCTAGAAAGTTTGTCTTGTGAAACTGTTGAAGGGGTACTTTCCATCTCAACCATTGGTGCTTTCGTATAACTTTCCAGAACTGATTCATACGTATGGGTGTGCATAGTCGTACTGCATGGGTATGCATGCACATGTGTGTACATGAATGAATGTGCATAGTCGTGCTGCATGGGTGCGCACGCACATGTGTGTACATGAATGCGCACAGTCGTGCTGCATGGGTGCACACGCACATGCGTGTACATGAATGTACATAGTAGTACTGCATGGGTGCGCATGCACATGTGTGTACATGAATGTATAGCACAGAGGTCAACTTTGGGTGTTCCTCGGGAGTCACTCATTCTTGAGGTAATGCCTCATTTTGGGATCTGAGGCTCACCACTTAGGCTAGATCTTCCCGTGTCTGCCTCCCCATTGACAAGATAATAAGTGCCCAGCTTTTTATGTGGGTGCTGGGGTTGAAGCCAGGCCCTTATGTTTGTACATCAGGCACCTTTACCACTGAGACATCTGCCCAGCCCCAGGAGTGATTTTCATCACCACTTTCATGAAGACATTCTAAGAGTAAAAAGGAGAAATGCCAACGATCTGCTGGGCAGCACATGCAGGCTGGTCCACCCAGGGTGGACGGGGACATATAATCACTCTACTTATGAAAGAAGTGAAGAAAAATAACACACACGAAGCAGAGTCCCAGCTGACATGAAACATGAACAAAAATGATGTTTGTTGTGAAGACTTGGCACCACAGCAAAACCTATGAAGGCTGATCAGTACAGTCCCTTATAGCTGTGGAACTTCTTTGTCACTCCCTTGGAATAATGGTCCCTATTTCACTGGGTCATCAAGGGGGTTAAATGAGTAGATATAAGTAAAGCACTTAGAACAGTGCCTGGTACATACTGGGAGATGTATAAGCACTGTATCCTATTACTAATTAGCAATAACAAAGAATAAAGAAGTGCTCTACACCAATCAATGAAGTCAAACCGCAAGGACAGCATATTGTTTCCAGGAATGGCATGTCATCTGACCACACATCAGGTGACTGCCCTTTGGAGTCTTACAGTCCTCCATGCAAGCCGGCTCCCAGCTGGATTTCCCTCTCACCTTAGCCTACAGACGATCATCGCCACTCTCTCTGCTCACTCTGAATCAGTCTTGACTTCTCTCCTTCCATTTCCCCCACCCTGACTCAACAACACTTTCCATAGACAAAATCCTCTAGGGCATTTTGAAAACTCTTTTGTAGACGATTTCCCCAGCTCCTTCATTTCCCACAACATACTTCAGACTTGCTCCATCTCCTCTAGCTTTATAACCTACCGTCTTCCTTCTCATTCATCTAGACAGTGCAGCTGGGTGCAGAGGCTTGGGCCTGCACTAGGGAGGCAGAAGAAGATGGGTCATAAATTGTAAGCACAGCAAGACCCTACCTTAACAACAACAAAAGACAGCAGAGCTCGAGGTCACTAGAGAGAGACTACATCCATAACCAAGTCAATGTCCATAACCAAGGTCAAGACATTTGCAGCCCTGGGTCCTGGCCTCTCGGGTGTCCTGTGCTCTCTGCCTTGTCTTGACTCTCTAAATACAAACATACAGCACAGTTTACGGCTTCCAAACTCCCTCCCTCTATCTCTCTCTACTCTCTCTACTGCCCAGTAGCCTGTCCTCCAGGTTCTTCTTGTATCTGTTTATCCCTGAAGCCACTGGACTCCACTACCTGCCACTTGGCTGGCAAGTCTGTCCCACGAGAGGTTCTCAGTGAACATGTTGGCGCTGAAACTGAGGGATGTTTCTCCATTATCAATTACTTCATATCTTCACCATATCTGGCTTGGCTCCTGTCTCTCCAAGAGTCTCTCCTGCCATGGCTTCCTCTGGCTTTCCCTCATCTCTGGCCCCTTCCCATGTTCTACAGGCTCCTCTCTGCGCCCCCAAACTCACTATCTCTCCCAGTTCTGTCCTTGACTATCTTTTATTTTCTCTCCTGGACACTGTATGCTGACAACTCCGAAGCCCATGTCTCTAGCAGATGTCCCTTGTTTATCCAATTGACTTTTCTATGTTCCACAAGCTCCCAGGCCAGGGATGACCACAGTCAAGCTCATTAGCCTGCTCCTTGGGTGTCTTATCTGAATGTCTGGTGTCATTATTTACCAAGTGTTCACGCCAGAAGCCCGGCTTTGTGCTTGACTTTCCCTAGTCCATCAATCCTGCCAACCAAACAGCCTGCCAGCTGCTCTCCCCACCGCATTTCACATCGTTTCTCAGGCTATTTGCAACTCCAGCTCCTTTCTCTGTGATGTTAGAATAAAATTCTCCTTCAGACACTGAAAGCTTAACCCCAATTAGCCCATTATCTCTTAGGACATGGTTCCTGTCTCCCGCTCCAACCTTTCATCTCTCATCAGGTCCCAAATATCTATAAAGCAGACTTTCAATTCCCAGATGCTTGTGTTTCATGACACTCTGGGGTTTTGATTTGCTGTCCTTCTGCTGAAGTGCTCTCTGCTCTGAAGTATGGTTGGTTTTCAAAACTTAAGAACTAATAAGTTTGTAAGTCATGTGCTACCTGCTTTAGTCTGCCCACTAGAAAACACGCTCACCCCCACCAGGCTGAGTCAACTGCTTGTCTTGTGCAATATTCAGTCCCCTCAACATGTGACTGCTGATTGACTTGTAGGTCTCCCTGACTAAACTGGGACCTTGACTAATTAGAATCCAATCCGTCTTCCACCTCCAGCTTCCAGCATGTTACCTAGTGATTCTCTGCAAATGCTTTCCCCATTGAGCCACCTCCCAGCCTGGAGAGTAATTCTTACAAATCGAGCAAGCCTGACTCCTACCCCCCAGCCCCTCTGCCCCTGCTTGCTCCACCATGTGCTCCTGTCTGGCTAACTGCACTTTGGCGAGAAGCATGTAAGAGTGGCCCCACTCAGCACACACAATGTTGCCTGGACCTTGACCATCTATGACTGTGAGCTAAATGAACCTCTTTCCTATAGAGTCGGTCCGTTTCAGGTACTACAGTCTGGTAACAACAGGCTGAATACATTCAGGGCTCAGGACAATATGCCCGTGACAGATATTCTGAATAGGTGAGGATTCTAAAGAGCAAAAAAGGAATTGCCATTATGAGTTTTCATTCAGTCTCCCTTTCTCTAGATTCAATTATCTCACCTCCTTTAGCTATTCCATAAATGGCAACATGCTGGATGAGCAAATTTCAATTTTACGCAAAGTTATTAGACTCTCAAATGAGATTTGTAATTGGCATTCACAAGAAATCAATTATTAGTAGTTATTCCAGTCGCTCTCCCTCTACGTTCGGCTTGTGCGAGCATTTAGGATGCTCTAAAGAGCACCTCGTGCCGCACTGCCGTCCACGTCCAGGCTGGGACAGTTCTGCCCACAGAGCTTTCTATCCCAAATCTTAGGGTGTTATGATCAGTCTTCATTTTCTGTTTAATTAATTTCAAGGTAACATTGGCCTAGTTGTGGAAAATAAGCAATTAATACATTTAGTGTTAAAATGTTTTACAATTCCTTCTAAGTAATCAACTTGTCACCCCATAAATCTGGTCATACTAAACAAATTTATGTTTTAAATAGGTCATCTCTAGAAAACAAAATACCTTGAAACAATTACGGCATAAGGCACTAAATATAGAAATTATAAGCTAAAATGTGAAAATAATTAGGACAAACAATTTTTCAAACTATCCTTTCAATTAGAAATTAAGTCCTTACAGTCATCTCAAAGAAGGAAAAAGAAAAGAAGTCTTTGGAGCGTTTAATTTTCATCTATCACCATCATTGCTATGTAGTCCCTGTAATTGATGGCATTTGATTCGGGGTCAATTGCAGCAGACAACATTTCTTCCATTTCCTCCTGAGAAAAAGGCTCACCTGGAGAGACAAGAAGGGAGACCATCATTTACAGACGGGAGATTTTTCTCTTTCCTCTAGCCAGCTCCATTGCCATGGGGAACACAGGCCCCCAGCTGTGTCTAGTTTCTCCACGGGAGCTGGACGGCCAACACCTGAGAATCTGGAAGTTCAAAAGGCGTGCTGCCACACCCTCTGCAAGGCCGCAGACTCACTACCTGGTTGTTACCTATAGAACACATCATTTCAGTCAAAACAGCAGCAGAACATAAAACACCATGAAAGAAGTTGTTTACTCACTTAAATTAAAATTAGTGAAATTGCAAAAGTATCTGCTTGAAGCTGAAGTTCTATAGATGAATCTAATTATTATGTTAGTGAAACTATGAGGAGATAGCTGAAGAGAGAGACAGGACACTTGATCACTACATCAGGTATCTCTCACACTGGTTTAACCCCACCACAGATGCCACTCATCAATCATCCTTGTTTCAGTCTGGGCTAGTTGAAGTCAGATGAAATGGAAAGTTAGAGAGAAAAATCTGTGAGCTTCAGTTGGACTCAGGTAACAATTGAGAGCCATCTTGGAAACTGGCTTCACCAAGGTAGGACACAAACTCCAGAAAAATATGGAAGCCAGGAGGGGGGGGAGGGGAGGAGCACCCAGCAGCCAGTACTCACTGACACTGATTGAAGTGTTTCACACATACTAAGTTAATCTCCCAGACACCTCACAAGAGGAGAGAACTACATCTCCATTCACAGCACATGAGCAATGCAGCCTGCCCTCAAGTGAACGGGGACGAGTCTGAACGCCAGATGACAAGCTTGGCCGAAGCACTCCACAGAGCTGCTTAGACTAAGCCTTGACCACAGGAGTCCCTCTGCCACACTGCCTGCACAGCATTTGGGTTAAGATAGCAGGAAAACTGCTCAACACTGAGAGGCACATCTTAAAGGACAAGCCTCACAGAGTCAAGTTCTAGCCCTCTTGCTAGCTTTATGATCTTGGGCAGGTTGCTTAACCTATCTTCCCAGTCTACACAATACAGATGATGCTAATACTCTCCACCCATGGGCTTGGTAAAAGGATTAAATCTGTTATTATTCAAATAGCACTTCCACAAACATCTGACACATAGCAACATGCATTTGTTTTTTAAAGGCTTAAGATCTTTTCTGATGCTAAATACCATCTGATGCAATATACATACTGGACACACATGAACTCTGTCTGGTAGATACTTGACAGGTACTTGTAGGTACACTCAGTGTGGTTTATGGTGTCTATCTTACAATCTCCTGGGCATTTAGAATGTACATTCTTAAACTTAAAGTTGTGTTGGCTGTTCTGTGGATACTATGAGAGGACATGGAAGTAACTTTATAGTCCAAAAGCTTGGATACACTTAAAAACAATTTGGAATTTTCAGAACCAAAATAGCACTTCTTAGCCAGGCCTGTGGCGCACACCTTTAATCCCAGCACTGAGAAGGCACAGGCAAGTGGATCTCTTTGTTCAAGGCCAGCCTGGTCTACAGAGAGAGTTCCAGGACAATCAGTGATACACAGAAAAACCATCTCTCTTAAAAAAATATATCATTTCTTAAGCAACCATTTTACTGAACTAGGCAGCTGCAAATGTACTTAGAGGAAGAGTGTTTTCCATCCAATAATAATGATGCATTAAGATATCACAGTGCATCTTATATGTACCTAACAAATATACTGGCTCAGACAACTTGGAAGAAATTGAATAATGTTGAATAAATAACTGAAACCATTTATATCCTTCTCTGAAAAGAACTGATGCAGGCTCTGTCTATTAGGATAGGCAACAGTTGCCCTGGAGTACAAGAACTCTGTAAGTATGCCTTCCTGGAAGTTCTCATGAAGCATATTCCTGTGACCCACATGGCCATGTCATCCCTACCCACAGTACCGTAGTGCCTGACTTCACTGTCTCAGTCGGTAGCATTACTATTATTGACATCCATGGTCCAGGGCAAAAGCCTGGTGTTCCTTTATACTCGTCATCCATTTTCGTCCCCTGCCCTCTGTTATTCACCATGGCCCAGGGTCCTGTGATAAAGTTATACTGCATTAATTCCCTTTTCTAGTCCTTGTGCCAGGCCAGGCCTGTATTAGGGAACCCTGGGAATGCTGAAGGAGCCCCCTGCTCATCTCGCTGGCTGCACCTGTCTTACTCACCTACAAACTGACCAGCACCAGAATCACTTTCCCACAGCACTGCTACAATGGGTGACTCAGTCCAACTCTCCACCGCCCAGGGGATGCCCTGAGCTCAAGAGCAGGCCTCTACAATTCAGCCCCAAACCACCTCCCTCCCTCCAACAAGACTCAAAGGCTGGCTGAGCTCGCCTTCTTCCTTGTACCTGGCTGCCTTCCTTCCAGATTCTGTTCCATTTCTCCATTTCCCACAAACCAACTGAATCTGTCTTCAATCAGCTTCTCATTTGTTCATTCATAGCGCATCTGTTGAAACTCACATGCTGATACTATGATGTGTGAGGGTGCTATAACATAGATGACCTCACTACGCCTGCCCTGGATGGCTCATCCCATCTTAGGGTGCTATAACATAGATGACCTCACTACGCCTGCCCTGGATGGCTCATCCTATCTTAGGGTGCTATAACATACATGACCTCACTACGCCTGCCCTGGATGGCTCATCCCATCTTAGGATGCTATAACATAGATGACCTCACTACGCCTGCCCTGAATGGCTCATCCTTTCTTAGGGTGCTATAACATATAAGATCTCACTACGCCTGCCCTGGATGGCTCATCCTATCTTAGGATGCTATAACATAGATGACCTCACTACGCCTGCCCTGGATGGCTCATCCTTTCTTAGGGTGCTATAACATATAAGATCTCACTACGCCTGCCCTGGATGGCTCACCCTATCTTCTGAAGCACAGAATGGTGGCTCCCATCTGTAATCCCATCTGAGAGGCTGAAGCAGGAGAATTGCCTTGAGTTTAATGCCAGCCTGGCATACGTAGTAAACACCAGATTCATCTGGGTTATAGAATGCAACCCTGTCTCAAAACAAAAGCAAACGAATAAACCTACCTTCTCAAGGAAGCTATTCTCTCTTCCCAGGCCAACCTTTCCAGGCTAGTTTCAGCTTGCATTGATCTTCTGATAGCTATTTTTCTAATGTCTCATATTGATCTATTTCACAAGTTAGCTTTGCTTCTCAAGAAAGGGATCAGATTCCAGTGTCATTACCGTCCACTGTGCTTTACCAATAAACATACAACAGGCACACAGTGGGAATGACTCAACCTCTTTGGCTGTTTTTATTAATTTCATGTGGCCCAATATACTTTAGGGTTAACTTCCTTTCATCCTGGGTTAATTAGTTAAGTTAACTACTCAGATGATTTTAACATAGTAGGGGATCCTGGATGGCAGCTATGGCTTTCATCTTACTCCTTCTCTCACTTCCTGTTTCCTGAGGGGGAACTGAGTTAAAATGGCCAAATCAGGTGTGCATAGAGCTTCCAGTACTGGTCTCCTTGCTCAAAATGATACCCATGTCCATGTCCAACTGATGGGTGACTGTTGCATCACTCACCACGTGGCCTGTGCATCTGGGAGCTGAAGATAGTGCAGGGTGTGTGTGTGTGTGTGTGTGTGTGTGTAGAGGAAGCAGAACTCCTTCCTTAGTGCAGGGTGTGTGTGTCTGAACAGCATTAATGATTGTCCATCATGCTGCTTACAGTTAGCGGAAACACACACACACATATATATATTGACATAAAAAGAGAACATTTAAGGAAATATATAGGTATTTGTCAGAGGAGGTCCCATTATCGTAAGAAAATACAGTTTTGCGTGAATTTGCATTCAATTAGGCTATATTGTTTGCAACTTTACCACCGAAGACAGTCTTTTGAAAGAAATTTTTATATACTATAATTCAAATCTTCTGTCTAAAAAGGCATTGGTTTATGATTGACAGCTCATATTAAGTGGCATGTCTTTTATTCAGAAAATATTTTAAGTGAATAAAGTAAACACAATTTATACAAGTAATCATTACACTTCTATTACACAAAATCAAATACCAAACCAAAATAATAGGAATAATAAATAAATTATTTAACCAAACAATTGCTTTTAAAGTATCGCCTCCCATAACTTTTGCATAATTGTTTAGAACTTATTAATTGGGCTGGAGAGATGGTTCAGCAGTTAAAACCATGCACTGTTCTTGCCAAGAACCTGAGTTCAGTTTCCAGTATCCATGTCAGGTTGCTGGCAACCATCTGTAACTTTAGCTACAGGGGACATGATGCTTCTGGTCTCTATGGGTACTGCATTCAGATGCACAGACACACACAGACACACAGACACACAGACACACACACACACACACACACACACACACACACACACAATTAAAAAATAAACATCTTTAAGCCTATTTATCTTTGCATAAATTACTCAAATAAGAAATAAAGTGCTCTGACCTTCCTCAGTCATGTATTTGATCAGTTCGTCCTTGGTCAGAAACCCTCGTTTAGCTGGATCCAAAACCTGGGGAAAGTAGATATATTTTCTTTGTTGAATAAATACTATATGATGAATTAGTTTTTCACATATACATGAATAATCTGGAGTTCACCCACCTCAAAAGCTCTGAGAAGGACATCTTCACCAATTGGTCTGTATCTGTAATTTTACAATAAAGTGAGTTAATGCCAGCATATTTATCTCAGTCTCTACATGATAAATGACTGCATTAGGCAAAATAAAAGCCACTAATATACTATGCTAATGGCATTTCCCTTGATGAAATTTCTTTGGATTTCTGGATATGAAAGTCAACAGTACCTACCCCACAGGAATGTTTGGTATTACCTATTAGCATTTTCTCATTGATATAAAAATAAATTTATCTACAACCAAAACATCTACAATCAATCAACTGTCATATGCTAATGCTGTCTTATGCTAGGAAAGTAACTAATGTTAATTTTTATTTTTAAATAGTAATTCACAGTTAAATATAACTACAATGTTGTTGGTTTTGTAGCTCCTTTTCCTTTTCATTATTTCTTGCTTGTATTAATAAATGCTAGCATGGTTTATATTTATAAGCACATCCCTAAACCAGTCTGCAGTACACTGAAAGGCTAGAGGAAACTACCCTAAGATATAGACTGGGTAAATAAAATATAAAAGGCCAAGTGGTTTGGTTTGGTTTGGTTTGGTTTGGTTTGGTTTGGTTTGGTTTTGAGGCAAAACTCTGTAGCTCAGGATGGCCTGAAACTCCATAACTAAGGCTAGCCTCAGGTTTGTGGCAATCCTCCTTCCTCAGCCCATCAATGCTGGAATTACAGGCATAAGGCATCACACCTGGCCAGCCAAATGTTTTGAAATTACTGCCATTCTAGTTATCTTGTCTTAAAATTGGATTTACTTCCTTACTTTCTTTCCAGAAGTGCTTTGGTCATCACTGGAAGAAACTTTTCAAAACGAATGTATCCGGTGGGTTCCTCTTCTTCCACCTGAACAATTAGAAACAGTCATTTATTCATTCAACAAATATACTGAGCAACTACTTTCTTTCAAACACTGAGACAAGGTTAGGACTTGGTGATGAGACTATAGACACAAATGCAGCTTGTGGAGCTTGTTTTCTGCAGGAGAGACACATACAATTCAGTAACCTGCTTGCCACTCAACCCTGAGGACCTAAACTCAATTCCTAGCACTCATGTCAAAAGCAAGGTGTGTAATTGCATCACAGTGGATTGTCACTCAGAGTTAACCTCTGGCATGTGTGCTCCCACACACCGAACACAAAAGCAAGTATCCAATTTGTTTTTACTATGCAAACTTGAAATGATCCTCCTGCTCAGCCTCCCCTATGGTGGTATGTCAGACATGAACCACCATGCCTGGCTTGAATGTCTAAATCTAGATCTATGCAAACACCATGAGCAAAGGAATGTGGGTCTAGTGGAGCACAGAGCACAGGAAGCCTCTCCCATCAGCGCATCAGGGAAGTCACTGGCAACTGTAGTGTCTGGGCTGGAAGAGGCTGGAGAGAGACCCTATCATCCCCAGAACAGCCATTCCCTGTTATCCTGAGAACAATGCAAAACCACAGACAGTCTCATAGGTGTGTGTTTTGAAAGGTCACTCTGTTGTGGATGAGGTGGCTACTTCAGACAAAGGGTGATGGTGCAGATTGGAGTGGTGGCCATGAGGAGAGTGGGTATGTGACCTTTAAGAAGACTTGACAGAGTGACAGCATTCACCCATTACAGATTAGGGGGAAAAGGCATCTAAAATGACTCCCAGATTCTGACTTGCACAAATGCACTGTCTTTCCGTGAAATGAGGAACCCTGAATACATCATCTCAAGGACCGACCTACATCTCAAATCATTCTTGTACTTATGAAATACTTTCCTGAGTACTAGAACTCTGCTCTGTCATCCTAAGTTAAGAAAATACTATTCTAAAGATGAGAGCTTTTGGCACCTAGCACTACAGAACGAGAAAGAAACAAGTCTTTTTTGCTTCCGGGTTCAACTCCGACCGACTGAACAAAGCTCTACTGACCTTAACTTCCATGTCAGGCAATTTATACGGAGCTATAAATCCTGCACTTTCTTTCAAAAATCCTATTAAAAGGCTCATAGATCCCAATTGAACAGATGAGTTTTTAAGAGATTTATTGTTTCAACAAAAAATAAATCTATGGGTGGCTATTAAGTAGAATACACTGTCATCCAAATGACAACTATTTTTAATGTTCATATGAGTCTGTATGAGTAGAGTCTTCAGAATCCATTATCAGAGAAAATCAAACCCATCTAGGGACATCATGTTTCAGAATTTCTGTACCATGTGAACAATTTCTTCAGCTTCCTCTAAGGTCTATGATGAGCATTTTGACAATTCATGTTAATATAGCTCGGTAGTCTGAAACTCCCAGAACACAGAGACTTAAAGGTTAAACATCTGAATGCAGGTGAGGCTCAGTGGTAGAGTCTTTATGGACTCTGGGGTTTAAACCTCAGGGAAGACTTTTTAAAAGTCAATCTCTGTGTCTCCTGGAAACTTCAGAGAATCTACACCATGAAGTCTCACCAACATTGAAGATATGATAGAAGAAATAGATACAACAGTAAAAGAAAATGTTACATCTAAAAAAAAAATCCTTACACAAAACATCCAGGAAATCTGGGACATTATGAAAAGACCAAACCTAAGAATAATAGGAATAAAGAAGAATCCCAGTTCAAAAGCCCAGAAAGTATTTTTACCAAAAATCATAGAAGAAAAATTTCCCAACTTATAAAATGGCATGCCTATAAAGGTACAAGAAGGTTACAGAACACCTAATAGATTGGACCAGAAAAGAAAGTTCCACGCCACATAATAATCAAAACTCTAAACATACAGAACCAAGAAAAAATATAAAAAGCTGCAAGGGGAAAAGGCCAAGTAACATATAAAAGCAGACTTATTAGAATTACGTCCGACTTCTCAATGGAGACTCAAAAGGCCAGAAGGCCCTGGACAGATGTCTTGCAGACTCTAAGAAACCACAAATGACAGCCAGACTATTATACAAAGCAAATTTTTCAATTATCACAGACAGAGAAAACAAGCTATCCCATGGCAAAGTCAAATTTAAACAATATCTATCCACAAATCTAGCCCTACAGAAGGTACTAGAAGGAAAATTCCAACCCAAGAAAGTTAATTACACCCATGAAACACAGGAAATAATTTCACATCAGCAAAACCAAAAAAAGGGAAGCACAACACAAACACACAATTATCATCAAAAACAACAAGATAACAGGAAGTAACAATCATTGGTCATTAATATGTCTCAATATCACTGGACTCAATTCCCAAATAAAAAGACACAGACTAATAGAATGGTTACAAAAACAGAACCCACACCTCTGTTGCATACAAGAAACACACTTCAACCTCAAAAACAGACATTAAAGTGATGGAAAAAGATTTTTCCAAGCAAATGAACCCAAGAAGCAAGCTGGTATGTCTATTTTAATATCTAACAAAATAGACATCAAACCAAAATTAATCAAAAGTGATAGGAAAGGATACTTCATACTCATCAAAGGAAAAATTCACCAAGATGACATTTCAATCCTTAACATCCAAGCCCCAAATGCAGGAGCACCCACATTTATAAAAGAAACATTATTAAAGCTTGAATCACCCATTGAACCTCACACATTAATAGTAGGAGACTTCAATACCCAACTCTCACCAATGGACAGGTTATCCAGACAAAAGTAAACAGAGAAATAATAGAGTTAACAGACAGTGTAAACCAAATGGACCTAACAGATATCTATAGAACATTTCATCCAAACACAAAAGAATATACTTTCTTCTCAGCACCTCATGAAACTGTCTCCAAAATTGACCACAGACTAAGACACAAAGCAAGTCTCAACAGATACAAGAAAACTGAAATAACTCCCTGTATCCTATCAGACCAGTCACAGATTAAAACTGTATTTCAGCAACAACAGAAAGTCTACAAAATCATGGAAATTGAACATCTCCTTATTGAATGACTATTGGGTCAGGGCAGAAAGACAGAAAGAAATGAAATGCATGCACAACATACCCAAACTTATGGGACACAATGAAATCTGTGCTAAGAGGAAAGTTCAAAGCACTAAGTACCTGCATAAAGAAATTGTGGAGATCTCATACTAGCAACTTAACACCACACTTGAAAGCTCTAGAACAAAAAGAAGCAAACGCCCAAAAGGAGAAGAAGACAGGAAATAAACTGAGGGCTGAAATAAAAAAATAGAACAATACAAAGAATTAATGAAACAGAGAGTTGGTTCTTTGAGAAAATAAACAAGATATACAAATACCCAAACTATTTAAAAGACAGAGAGAGAATATCCAAACTAACAAAATCAGAAACAGAAAGGGGACATAAAAATAGACAATGAGGAAAGTCAACAAATCATTAGGTCATACTTCAAAATCCTGTACTCCATAAAATTAGAAAATCTAAAAAAAAAAATGGACAATTTTCTTGATAGATACCTCTTACCAAAGTTAAATTAAGACCAGATAAACAATTTAAACAGACCTATAACCCCCAAGGAAATAGATGCCATCATTAAAAGTCTCCCAACCAAAAAAGAAAAGAAAGAAAGAAAAGCCCAAGGCCAGATGTTTTTAAGCACAGAATTCTACCATACTTTCAATGAAGAGCTAATGCCAATACTCATCAGCTCATTCCACAAGATAGAAATAAAAGGAACATTGCCAAATTCATTTTATGAGGCCACAGTCACCCTGATACCAAAACCACACAAAGATTCAACAAAGAAAGAGAATTACAGACCAATTTCCCTCCTGAACATTGATGCAAAAATACTCAATAAAATACTTGCAAACCAAATCCAAGAACACATCAAAAAGATCATCCACCACGATCAAGTAGGCTTCATCCCAAAGATGCAGAGATGGTTCATCATATGAAAATCTGTCAACAAAATGTACCATATAAACAAACTGAAAGAAAAAACTACCTCATGATCATCTTGTTAGATGTTGAAAAAGCCTTTAACAAAATCCAGTACCCCTTCATGATAAAAGTCTTAGAAACATCAGGGATACAAAGGACATTAAATGGAGAGAAACTCAAAGTAATCCCACAATTTAAAAAAAAAAAAAAAAAAAAAAAAAAAAAAAAAAAAAAACCTCTAAGGCAAGGCGTTGGTGGCGCACGCCTTTAATCCCAGCACTTGGGAGGCAGAGGCAGGCAGATCTCTGTGAGTTCGAGGCCAGCCTGGTCTCCAGAGCAAGTGCCAGGATAGGCTCCAAAGCTACACAGAGAAATCCTGTCTCGAAAAACAAAAACAAAAACAAACAAACAAAAAAAAGAGCTGTCACCATCCCTGATTTTAAGCTGTACTACAGAGCAATTAAAAAAAAAAAAACTACATGGCATTGGCATAAAAACAGACAAGTTAACTAGTGGAATCAAATTGAAGACCCAGATGTAAATCCATACACTTATGGACACCTGATTTCAGCAAAGAAGCCAAAATTATACAATGGAAAAAAGAAAACAAAAAATAGTGCTGGTCTAACTGGAGGTCGGCATGTACAAGAATGCAAATCAATCCATATCTATCACCCTGAACAAAACTCAAGTTCAACTTGATCAAGGACGTCAACATAAAATCAGATACACTGAACCTGACAGAAGAGAAAGTGGGGAATAGCCTTGAACACATAGCACAGGACACAGCTTCCTGAACAAAATATCAATAGTGCAGGCACTAAGATTGACAATTAATAAATAGGATCTCATGAACCTGAGAAGCTTTTGTAAGGCAAAGGAAACCATCAATAGGACAAAACGGCAGCCTACAGAAAGGGAAAAGATTTTTACCAACTCCAAATGTGACAGAGAAATAATATCCAAAATATATAAAGAACTCAAGAAACTAGACATCAACAAACCGAATAATCCAGT